CAAGGCCTTCAATAGAACGTGGACACTAGGGTGCTTCATTCTGAAAAAAGTGATGAATATCTGATGGGCCACCCTCCAGTTCGATTCATAGCCCCAAAATATGAACCTGTGCAAAAATTGGTAAAGATTGATGAAGGTTTAGAGGTCGCGCCAATGATTTGAAATTTGTATGGGAATTACTATGGAAGAATTTAAAAAATCGCTTATATCGCTATAACTTTGCTTCTACTTGTCCAAATGTCGAAAAAATTTAGTATGTTATTGCTATGGCAATAAACAAAAAGCCTACAGTTGCTACGCTCAGTTTTGCAGCGTATCAAGAATTATAAAAATGTGAAAAAATGGCAAAATAGGGTAAATTGACAGATGAATATGTACAAGGCAACAACGCCAATTTCATCGCAACAACAACAGGCTTGTTGATCATTGTCATGACAACCACATATTTTTTTTTTTCAACGTTTGGACAACTACAACCAAAGTTAGAGCAATGTAAACGAAAATCAATAATTTCCCATACTAATTCACCAAAATCTCCATACAAAATCCAAATCATTGGCGCGACCTCTAAACCTTCATCAATCTTTACCATTTTTTGCACAGGTTCATATTTTGGGGCTATGAATCGAACTGGAGGGTGGCCTATCAAAAATTCATCACTTTTTTCAAAATGAAACACCCTAGTGGACACCTGTCGTCCTGAGGCAGCCAGTCAGCTGGGGAGTGAAAGGTCCCATGGTCGAGTTTGTTAAAAACTTCCTCGCGGATCGTTCGTTCCGTGTCATGGTCGGCAGCACACAGTCAGAGCCTTTCAGCGAGGAGACGGGTGTTACACAGGGGTCAGATATCGCCGTCACACTGTTCCTGACTGCGATGAACGGGTTGATCGATCGGATCCCTCGAAACATCTATATCTTCGCATACGCCGACGATGTTCTCGTGGTTTCCTTTGGTCTTAAACCCACACGCATCCGGATGAGGGTGCAGGCGGGCGTTTCGGCAATTGCCAGATGGGCTCGCACCAAAGGATTTCAGTTGTCCGCGGCTAAAAGTGGGACCTCCCTTAGCTCAGTTGGTAAAGGCACAGCTACAAAGTAAGACCATGCTGGAGGTGGCTGGGTTCAATTTCCGGTGTGGTCTAGGAATTTTTCGGGTTGGTTACTTGCCACACAATAATACTAATGCAAAAGTGGTATAGACATCGAAAGCTCTCAATTAATAACTGTGGAAATGCATCTAGAACACTAAGTTGAGAGCACGCAAAAAGCTAATATGCCATACGAAATAAGTTTGAAATGCGAGGAAGAAGAAGAAAGAAGCAGCTAAAAGTGTCAGGTGCCATAACTGTTCTTCTCGTCACAGAATTAGTGGTCATCCAATCAAGATCATCGACAGTGTCATACCTCTTCGGAAAACCGTCAAGATCCTAGGTGTTCTGATTGCACAGCACTTCCAAGCCGTCGCAGCAGGGTCAACTTGGTGCGGATAAATTTCCGACAGGATTCGCTTTAGGCTAGCCCAAGCGATATTTGACAGTCGCCCATTCTACGGACTAGAACTCACCTGCTCGACAACCGATAAGCCAACACAAATTCTTGCTCCAATGTACAACTCCTATGTCCGGATCGTATCAGGCCTTCTGCCATCGACGTCCGCCAACGCAGTCTGCGTTTAAACGGGAACCCTTCCTTTCCGGCATCGACTCAACGCAGCTATTACCATCAAGGTCGCTGCTTTTTCAGCAAAATCACCGAACTCTGACAGGATCTCCCTCCTCGAGGAGAGGGAAAAGAACCCTCCACACGACCACCAACATAAACCTTCCCCCCAGTGGACAAGTGTCACTGGCATGGAGAACGAAGTTGGCACGCACCTCTAGTTAATGTAGATAGCTGGATCAAGGCAGGATAGAACTCTGCTACCCTACGACGGTCGGTAGCGGAAATGCTAGCAGCAGACTACGGTACATATGGATCATTTTCGCAAGTGGGCGTGGAAATAGGCGTTGCAGGGCACCTAGTAACTACGAGCAGCAGTTTGGCACTCCAATACTCGGTCTTCTTTGCTGAGGTCACAGCCATCTATAATGCAGCAACAACTCCGTCCAACTGGCCTGTCCTGGTCCTTACCGACTTCCATAGTGCGGTGCTTGCACTGTCGTCGGAGGCCCCCACCCATCCTTGGGTGCAAGAGGTACGCACCGACATTGTGGGACTCTAGGCAACAACAACGCTGACTGCTCGCTACACAGACCAGGTTCCCTTACAGGACGCAATGCGCTGGATAGCTGGAGTGATACGGGATGCATGGAAAGCCGAATGGGCGTAGACCCAGTCGCTCACAATATCCAATGTCAAGGGAAGCACACCCGAATGGGAGGACTTGAAAAACCATCCGGATCAAAAGGTTGCGTCGCACCTGCGGACGGGGCTCACCTTAATCTGCCACAACTTCGGAGGAACACCGTTTCGAAAATTCTGCGCCATCTGTGGCATCCACTCATCGGTTGAACACATTCGCTGCGTGTGTCTATAATACGAAAACCTGCGGCAGCTCTACGGCCTGCCGAACACAATCCGAGACATCCTCGGAAATTAACCATGCACCTTAGCAGCAGTTATTTGCTTTCTGAAGGAAGCAAGTTAGAACATCTTGATTTTTTTTAGTAGTAGATCAAAATGACGGAAAAACTACAAGGGACAGCCCTGTGGGGTTGTACACAATGGTGACGTAGGACTACGTGGCCTTATATAATAAATCGTATTTGTTAACTGCAGCAGGAGCTTGTATATTGTGTAGGAATAGGAATTTGTGCGGGGTTCTCTCTGTTTATACTCTAGTATAACGCGCTTGACATAGATGGCCCACAGCGACTCACGAAGAGCTGCTGATTCCGATTGATAGCGGTGCGGCTTCTTCCTCCTTCTCTGGATGCTCATGTGGGCTGCAGCTCGCTGCTTGCAGGGAGCCTTTCGTTGTGTACTGGAGAACACCACCACTCATCACGCGGTGATTGTATATGATATGAATTCAACTTTGAAATCTGTGCTAGGGAAATCGCTTTTCGCAGGCAATCGGTGATAATTTTAACTATCATAGCAACAGTTGCACATTCATGCAATTTTAAATAGTGACATTTTGAAAAATGATAAAGTCTTAAGATTGCGCAAATGCGTAGAAATATTTCTGATCGATTGGTGATAAAATTATTGGAATTGGTCCAGCGGCAGCTGAGTTATTAACGTTCAAAATCTTTCATAATTTTGTTACATGTTCCATTTTTCGTTTTCCCAAAGTGTACCCCCAAATAGAAATCACAGACGTAGTCCTACGTCAAAAGCCCCCTTTTTCGAATGGTGAAGGTTTCGTGAAAGCCGATTATCTTAGTTTAAAGTTATTCTAACAGACACCGTGTAATTAAGTTCTCCTTACGTCACCACTGTTGTGTCCTTGCCAAGAATATAAAGATATAAGATTAGTCGGATGACTAGATGAAAAAAGCACTTCCGTCACTGTTCGGATCTATACCATAAGAGACCGATATCGATCTTTATTACAACCTAGACTCTTCACACATACGACTGATCGACTGATTGAACATCAGTCCAGGATCCTGAAAATCTAAAGAAGTCTAATATTAGGCACAACATGTTACAAGTTTAAAGTCCTTCTAAATCTACAATGTTTTAAAATAAATACATAAAAGAAGAAGGGTATGTGCCTAGGGGCACGAACGGAAGCTGGACGTAGGACCTCCAGTGAAATGTGAAGAGCATTTAGTTCTTTTCATTGATCGAAAATTGTAGTTGCAAATTTGTAGTAATATTTTTCAAAGAGAAAGTTGATGAAAAGAATCGATCAAAATCACTTGCAACCCTGCTTCTAAGTTTGGTTACAAGTTTATAACTCTGGAGAGCATTTTGTGTGGTTGTTGGGGGCGTATGAATGAACAGGCAGATAAATTCTATTCCTACTCTTTATTGTAATAAGCTTGGTGGCCCTGAAAAGGACCGTTTTGTTGCCAAAGTTAGTTGGTGATGATTTAACCTCCTAAACCGTACACTCTGTCACTTCAAAGCGTAGAGAACTCATCCATGACCGCTTACGCTTGGCGTATTCAGTATAGGTGACAGCATCACGGATCTCATTTTCCAGGAATACCTTCTGCACACCTCGTAGATCAGACCGGAGATACGTTTGACATCGCCACAGCGAGCCAGACGACGGACTGCTGTTATCACGAAGAACCTTGCGATGACGCTTGGCGCCTCCTTTACCAAGACCTTTTCCTCCTTTGCCACGACCAGTCATTGTTGCTTGTTGGGTATTAGAGTGGGCTACCTAACCTGCAACCACCTTCCTACTGCTGCTATTGCTGCTGCTGCTGCCTGCTCACCACGCCGTCCGAAGCGAAAATGAGTTGAGGCTAGACAGCAGCGCTCTTTAAAATCTTTTCAGGTTAAAACAGAATTATGTGCAACCAAGTGGTACTCGGTTATGACGACTGGGTTTGGGAAGAACGTTCATTTCATGAAAACAGTGATAAAACTATCACCTTTTTATTTATACATTGGACAATGCTTGACAATACCACTTTTTCAATAGTTTATTCTTGAAAATCATCAGTTGGATTGTTATAGATGTGTAGAAATATTTCTGATCGATTGGTGATAAAATTATAGAAATTGGTCCAGAGGCAGCTGAGTCATTAATGTTCAAAATCTTTCATAATTTTGTTTCATGTCCCATTTTCGGTGTTCTCAAAGTGTACCCCCAGTATAGAAATTAAAGACGTAGTCCTACGTCAAAAAACACGCATCCCTGAGATTTCGATTTGCTGAAGGTCTTGGAAAAGTGTAACTGTGGAGTGATGTTTAGGTTGTTGTGAGCAAATTTCTGTGAATCTTTAAAAAAAATATCCTTAACTAGCTACAATGCGAAGCAATTGATTCAAACCAGTCACCTAATCTGCATAATAAATCCTAATTTCCTCCTTGCAGGTTTCGGTTGCAAGGTGGCCGGCTTTCTCACCGTCTTCGCCAGCCATCTGTCGATCTTCACGCTGACCATCGTGACCCTGGAGCGTTGGTTTGCCATCACCCACGCCATCTACCTGAACAAACGCATCAAACTGAAGGCGGCCACCTACATCATGATAGCCGGTTGGATCTATTCGGCGATAATGGCTTCACTGCCCCTGTTCGGCATTAGCAACTACTCCAGCACCAGCATATGTCTGCCGATGGAGGCACGCGACACGTGGGACATTGCCTACCTGCTGACGGTGCTCGGTATCAACGGGTTGGCGTTCATCATCATTGTGATTTGCTACGCCCAGATCTATCTATCACTCGGCAAGGAAACACGTCAAGCGGCTCGAACAGCCCACAGTGGCGAAATGACGGTTGCAAAGAAGATGGCGCTGCTGGTATTTACGAACTTTGCATGCTGGGCACCGATAGCTTTCTTTGGCCTCACAGCCATCGCCGGATATCCACTAATCGATGTAACCAAGTCGAAAATTCTACTGGTATTCTTCTATCCACTCAACTCGTGTGCCAATCCCTACTTGTATGCCATTCTGACGATGCAGTACCGGAAGGACTTTTTCATGCTACTATCCAAGTATGAACGCGATGTTGCATGCAAGTTCGATGTACTAAACCGAGCTTTTTTCTTTCAGCTATGGTCTCTGCACCCAACGTGCCCAACAGTACAAAATGACCTACTCGATGCCGACTAACACAATCCAGATCGTCCCAGCTAGAGGCTCCCTAACCACCACCGGAAATACGTCCAACACGAATGGAACCACCACCAGCTGCACCAACATGAACAACAGCTGCACGGTCAACAGTTTGAACGGAATCGTCACCAATTACACGGTGGTAGAGGATGTGATTGTGAAGAATGAAAGACTAAACAGCGTTGCGAGTACCGCCGTGGAAGAACAGGAAAGCGAAACTTTTCTCTGAATTGCCATACGAGAACACGGGTGCCATAAAACGGGGGCGTGAGCTTTCGCTTTCGCTCCCACCCTTTTATAGCAGAAAGTACAAGCGAAATCTCGATTATTCGGGCCCGGCGGGTACGCATCTTTCCGCACTGACAATGAAAATACGGTCACCCCGTAACCAAGAAAAATGTTCATTCCCAAAAGTAAATGTGATAACTGCATCCTAGGTGTGAATTCAAACAGAACGATGTATTTAAGAGTATCTTTTCAATCGAATGCACACCCACCCTCACAGTGTATCTTGAACGGTGATAATGATGATGACCCTCCGGTCGAGAAGCTCGTCAAGGTGAGGGAGAGTGGAGGGGCCAGGAAGAGCGATTGAGATCGTTACGACAGGATTACCAATAAATCCAAGTTTTATGTACTTGATGAAAGAAAGTCCACTATTTTATTGATGAGAAATGTTACGAAAGTTCTTGCTGCCGCTGGTGGGTGTAGTTACTTTACAAACTTTACGGAGCCATTAAGCTCGATTGAGATGGGTGCGATGGAGAATCGAAGGATGACAACTTAGTACAGGGTATTTTGTTCTTCAAGTAGAGGAAACTTTTACTGGATTGAAATAATCGAAAGATTTAGTTGCATGATTGGTCATCCCACTGTTCCTAATGGCAAATGGATCGTACCAGTTCGAGTGAACACATGAGAGGCACTCAAAATAACGTAGGAATGGAAGCTACTTTTGACGTAGAACTACGTCTTTGTCGACTATACTGGGGTGCAAATCAAAAAATATGTGTGGTGAAGGAGTGTTAGGTTTTGAACGCTTGTAACTTTGTCATTTATAGATGAAATTAAAATCCAAATACGCCAATCGATAGGATATTACATTACGAACCTGTTGAAATAAATATTTTTCCAATTTTTCTGTAATTAAACTATTGAAAATGTACAAATGATAATTTTATCACTGTTTTCATGAAATAAGCCTTTTTCCCAAACCCAGTCATCACAAACGAATACCACTTGGTTGCACATCATTCTGCTTGAACCTGAAAAGATATAAATAAGCGCTGCTATCATGCCTCTGCTCATTACCGCTTCGGCACCGCGTGGCACTAGGTCCTGCATCAAGCAGGACTCGGTCAGCGGCTAAAGGTGGATCACGGCGTGTCCACCACAATGAGGGATGAGACTTGAAAAAACGTGCATGTAAAACCCCCTCCCGCATAACAACCCCCTCCCCCTCCTCCTCAACAATAACCCGAAAAAGACATGGACTTTGACGATCATTGGGAAATAAATTTTAAGCAAGCCCTAATAATGTATAAACAATTAATTTTTTACATGCAGAGCCAACATTTTCAACAAAAATATTGCTTAATAGGAGACATACACTCGATGAATTACCAACAACTGACTGTAAAACATATCTGGTGCCTCTATATATGCAATTATATTAACATCCAAAGTCCATCCTAGTTTACATATTCTGATCAAAAGAAACTTTCTGCTCCGCCCCATTCATAAAAAACTGCGGGAAATCCTATCAGGTTCTGAACCGGAAAAGATATAAAACAGCGCTGGTGTCATGCTTTTGCTCATTTTCGCTTCGGACGGCGTGGAACTTGGTCCTGCAGTAAGCAGGACCAAATCAGCGGCTAAAGGTGGATCACAGCGTGACCACAATGAGGAAATGTAATGTTGTAAACCCCCTCCTCCTTTCACAACAACCTCTCTCCCTCCCCCTTCACAACAATCTCCCCACCCCTCAACAACCTCTCCTAACCAATTATCAATGACAATTATCCACGGCCCATACAAATTTTAAAATTTTTATATGGAAAATTGTCTACGCATGGGTAGGGGGGGGGGGGGGGTCAAGCATACCGAAAAGCTATCTACGTAGTTAGTGAACAGCCCCTAAAATAACACTGTTATCAAATAAAAAGCAGCTCACGCGACCACCAACGATCGACCAAAACAATCTGTGGGCAGTGTTGCGATATATCGTAAAATAAAAGTTGATGCATTGTCCAATACTCATATTGTTCGTTTAACTCGTATAACTTAAATTATACACTCATAATGCTTAAGAACAAACAAATAATGTTGAAAACATAAATGACCTATGTAACTGTGATTATAACAAAACGTCCTATATAACATGTCCAATGTACACCTGACAAGAGCAAAATGTCCTATGTAACATTTTTCACGTTTTCATAGAAAAAAATGTATGAAACGGGTAGATTATAATTTCAATTTCAATTTTACTATCGCATTTTACTATTAAAGGTCTTAAAAATGTCAAAAGTTGATTTGGTTTAAAATAGTATCAAAAAAGATTTTGTCAATCTTCAACCTCGTTTTTCTCGAAAAGAGTGAAATGTTAGATAGGACATTTTGAAAAGTTAGGCGCGATTTCATCTCTACCAAAGAGGCAGCAAAACCACAAAATTACCTTGAACACAGGGGGTATTCATTGGATACGTGAAAGAGGACACTAAAATAGAAAGTTTTTCTTCCGACAGTTTCATCTTAGTATTCATCTTTGTGTGTACTTCTGAGTGGATTCTGTTTATGTGTGGTCAAATGAAAATCATGTGGAATTTCACATGGATATTTGTCAAGAAAAATGTGTAAATTGTTTTGAGTCAACCATAACCGAAACATTGAAATACTTGAAAATCAAACATCAATTTTGTGTGGTTCTACGTCATACTGCGGTCGTGTCTAGGACACAACCCTTTATTTTTTTCATTAGGAGAAGCGACAGCAACTGATCCAGCAGCCGAAACCCAATAAATGGCCGTCACTCAGGTGTAATGCATCTTTAATTCACGACCGGTAACTTCACTTCCCAATTACCTATTTTTGCTGTAATGAGTAATCGTCATGAGTGAATACTATTCGCTAATTGTGAAATTCTGGAAGCGAAATTGACTGGTTTTATGTGTCATATACAAACTGTACCTCTTCTTCTTGCATCTTACATGAACAAATTATAATTATTGTAAAAATCACATAGATTCTTAATTTCGAAATGTAGTATTTTAGCTGTAATGAGTATATTCAGGCCTGGTCACAGACTTATTCTTCAACGTTTTACGGGAAAAGCAGAAATCAAAAATACAGGCTACTCTATCAAAAACTCGAAAAAGACCATGAATTCCACATGTTGCACTCTAGTTGGTACGACGAAAAGACAATCTTATGAATGAGTTATTTCTCAAGCTACACGCTTTTGCCTGAACAGGTAGATGTGCAAGCAGAGTGGGACAATCATTATGAACACATAGCGCATTAGAAACACAGAGACTACCGGATGTATCTCTTCTGACGCTGAAAGTGTCCAGACCTATCATCGGACACCGATTTTCATAAGGTGACAGCTCAAAGCGATTTCGGCTTGGACCAAGCGATGAAACCTGCGTTGAACGCTTTCTATCGTGTCGGATCCATTTTGGTAGACCCATATTCCAGTACCGATCGAAGCTTTATCCGTGTCTACTGAATGTCATTTCGGAATCCAAGATAATCCCAAAATCTTTCACCAGGCTGAAATCTGGCCTCCTGTGAATGAAATTACATCACACTTATTCGGGTTTAGCACCATTCTGTTCAAGTCGCACCAGTCGGCGAATATATGTAGCTGCCTTTGTAAGAAATTCGCATCGTGTGGCTTAGCTATTTTCCAAAATATGTTGAAATCACCTGCACATGCTAATCGAGGTTCTTCTAGTGAACTGTTGATGTCATTCAGGTACAATAGGGAAATTAACGGGCCCAGATGACTGCCTTGCGAAACTCCAGAAGAAGCAGAGAAGGTGTTAGAGAGGCAGTCTCCAATGCTGACGTTAAGATGCCGACCGGTCAAGTAAGATAAATAGGAGCCAATCAAGAAGACAGCCGGTGAAACCAAGCCTGGCGAGTTTAGCAACAGCAATTTCGTGGTGAATTTTGTCGAAATCGGATTACAAATCTGTTGATAGCGTCGGTCTGCAGTTCTTCAGACATTTCGTCAACAACGTACGCTGTGAAGCAGAGGAGATTCGTAGTAGTTGATCTTTTCGTCATAAAACCATGCTGATCTTCGGAGATGAGCTGCATGCATTTGAAAAAAAATAGGGTCGAGCACCACCAGTTTGAATAATTTCGATACTGCACAAAGCGCCGGTAATTGTCAACGTTACTTTTGTCACCCTTTCTGTGGACAGAGCTGAAAGATGTGAGCTAGAGGTGTGAGTAAATTATCGATGCACTTCTCTTGCTGGAACGTTTGAAGCAGCTTCGGTAATCTGTTGTGGCTGCAGCGACTCGTTTGATAAAACACCTGCAAATTTCGTAGAGTTGGCAGACTTCCAGTCCATTCGAAGCTTCAGCGTCACTCAATTTCATCGTCGATGGCAATCCATTCTCTTTCCTCTGACTTCGAACACAGTTTCAAAAGGATTTTGGATTAGATTTCATGGATGCTTGAATGCTGCGCTGATAAAAAGAAAAGCAAGCTTTACTTAATTTTTAGTAACGATAGTTGATACGCAAATAGTATTGTTTCAGCAGAAGAGTTTTGTGCTTCGAAAATTTCCGAAAAGATGGCGCAATTCGCGTGATTTCCATAGCGACTACTTGCATGATTTAGCAGTCTTCTTAGGAACGTGGCAGTCTATGACATTCGATAGAATGTTTGAGAAAGTTTGCATAGCATTGTGGCGTTCTCGTGATCTAGTAGGGCTTCCCAATCAAGTGTGTTCAAAACAGTAATAATGTTGTTGTAGTCGGCCTTGTTGAAATCATAATTCACCGTTTCTGCGGTATCGTTGAAAATTGGCAGCTTCTTATTTTGTGATGTGGCACGTGTTTTACGAGTGGAGCTGGACTCACTGAGATGTCTGGAGCAACGTCTTGAAGGCTTTCAAAACAGAAGTCCAACGTCGGGAACGTAGACCTTTCCTTGTCTGCTAACAAGAAGCCATTGATTGCCTAATAATTCCGGGAAGATTGAAGTCACCGAGGATATCAAACTCGTCACATGCATCAGAGTCACATGAAATAGATAGAGGAAATGGATGTAATGTTGGCCTAAATGCCCCTAATTTGGGCCCATACATAAATTCAGCAATCGACTAAATTTCCAATAGCGACCAAAAATATCCATAAATACCGTCCCAATGACGCGTTCATCTAGATAAAATTGGTAAATAGCAGATTTTTAGCGATGGACCCACTCTTAGATTCATAGGCCAACCTTAGAGCCGTTGTAGAGCGAATCATCACGAATACGATCTGGAGGGATGTATACAGCACCAAGGAATAACTTTGGATAAGCTAGATTTGCTAGACACCAGTCCATTGGAGGT